AATTGATTGGTATGTGACATAACTCACACCCTTTTAAGACTCATTGTCTTCATGATCTCAATCCCTTAGCCCCAATCCCACTATCCCTATCCCCGTCTTTCATAATACTTGTCTTGGTTATATATAAATATTTTAAAAATAATATTTATTTACTTACGCATCAAAATTAAAAAAAAAATGAAAGAAATATTAAGTAATCTATAAGTACACACCCTATGAGAATAAAGAAGTGTGCACTAGTCATTAATTATTTGCACAAGTGCAAATATCTTCTTGTCTCTCGGATATTTTTTCAGAAAAGATCCCCTTCTTTTCTGGATAAATTCTGCCCAAGTCTTTGAAGATACTAATTAAGAAGAACAAGATTATTTTGTGGTTTAACCACTAACTTATTGGTAAACATTAGTACTAGTGAGACACACAAAACTCACAAAAGACTTGTCAAAGGTATTATGGGTAGGCTGTCTTGTTCACGCTTTTAGAACAAGGACAAAATCAAGGATATTTTCACACTTTGGCCTAGTAAAAATATCTTGAATTCATGATCTGAGTAGTTTTGATTTGTGTCGTGCAATATTCATTAATAGAAATTGCTCCCCTGAGTCTTTACTCAAGTTTCTTCATTCTCGACGTTACAACGCTATGTAATACTCCTTATGTTCCTTTTTTACTTATTCAATTTTGACTTTTTACTTGTTCCTCTTTTACGTGTCATTTTTAATAAATCAAAGAAATACAATATTTTTTACCTATTATGTCATAAATTTATTTCGAGAGTTAATGTTTTTTAAAAAGGTAGAACTTCTTTAATGAGTGAATTAATTTTGAATAGTAAACTCAACATGTAATTTATTATTTTCTTAATAGGTCTGCCAAGTAAAAAATTGATAAATAAATGGAGGCGGAAGGAGTATCTTACTAAGGTGGAGAAATCGAAATTCTATTTAATTCATTGCATATTTTTCTAGAAAGAATAATGACTTGCGGTTTAGGAGTGTTTTTCAACACTTTTGGCTTTGTATTAAGAGTTCTAAGCTCCTATAAGTGTTTAAAATCGCTTGCTATATCATGTTTAAGATTGTTAGAGGGTATATTTTAATTTAGTTAGTTAAATAAAAAAATATTTTTAAAATTACTAATAATTGAGATATAAATTACGCTCAAATATATTTTCAACACTTCTTTCATTAAAAAAAATGTCATCACCTTCCCAAATAAATAAATATTTGCTAAAGTTAAATTGAAACTTGGTAAAAAATTGGTGATTTGGATTTTAAATGTTAAGATTAAAAATAAGTAGGTGTAATGTGAAAGTTAGCAAAGCAAATCTCAAAAGATCATGAATAAGAAGACAAATGAGAAATACACTAAAAGAGACAAATTTAACGTGATTCGGTCAATCAACCTACGTCCATAAAGTAGACGAGCAATCCACTATAAATATGATAGTACAAAATACAAAGAGAAATAACCTCAACCAATTCATTAAGAGTACTTGAGAGATTTACGCAAGTGATAAGTATCAAGCTTGTAATCCACAAATTCTCTTCCCTTAAACAAAACTCTCAAAGCCCTTAAAGACTAAATTATAAATGCTGATTAAATTAGAAGAAACGTATCTCTATTTACAGAGTCCTAAATCTTTTTCTACAAAAGAAGGACTAGTCAATTCAAAACTTTCTCCTAAAAAAAACTTATTTGTGATAAGAAAATCAGGCCAAATAAATCCAACATTAAATTCTAGCCAATTATCTTTTTTAATTTATATGATCTTTGCAGCCAATTTAGACTTTGGAGTTCACATATAAGTTGTTAAAAGTAAAAGTCCAATTCAGAAGCCCTTCAATAAATGAAGCTTGTTTGCTTTAACTTTCGACTACTTTAGTATCTCTAGGTACTAAAAGGTTATTTTGTTTATAAATAAGTCATTTTATAATTTAAATTAAAATTTTACGATTATAATTAAAATTATCTTCCATATATTTTACAATAGATATATCTTATGATTATGATAAAAAAAAAATTGATCCTCATTATAATTAGTACAATTCTAAGTTTTATACTTTTTGGACAATTAGCCAATATAATCCCTTAGATAATCTAGAACAATGAGAACACTTAAAAAAATCATAATTATAATAATACAAGTTTGAATTCATCGTCCCGTCTTATAAGTTTTCCCATTTAGTTTGATTATCTTCGATATTTTTATCATAAGTTTTTATTTTTACATTAATTTCAAACTATTCTCTAAGAAATAATTTTCTTATTTTAAGGTCTTCCAGAAACATCTTCTCTATTATTGTTGTTATTCTGATTGTCTAAAACCTCCCTCGTTCGTTTCTATTCCCGTTGAGGACCACTATATATTACAATAATTGACGATGGGTCGTTGGAAGTGAGAATAAAACATATATAAATGTGTTCACATTTTAGCAAAATAGGTACAAGACAATTTGGCTATAAAATTCCAAAGTCTTTAGTTATATGTCAAAGATGATGAAGTTAAACTCACACGAGATGCCGCATAATAACGACTATTTGTGTACTTACTTTGATTCTACTACATCTTCAACATTATTATACTCTATGTCTCTATCTTTGGTACATAAAAAATAATAAAAGGGCTTAAAAAATGAAAAAAATACAACTTCTTTTTTCTAGAAATTGATGTTTCTGCTCAACAAATTCCCTTTTGTATTTGAAAAAGTAATCCTCTTTAACAAAAAAAATTATTCTAGTTGTTACCCTATTTTCCACTTCCTTCTGGAAAATTTGTGCTTATCGATAAAGAATATTTCAGTCAATTGCAATATCAATTTAATATCAAGGGTTTTACGTTGTATAGTTGTTCGCCAAAATATTAATAACATTCAAATGCATGTCTCTTTACGTTAACTTATATATTTTATATATAACTTGTGTATATATTTTTTTATATTTGACTATTTTTTTAATATTTAATTGACAATTATGATTATTTTCGATGGACGATAAGTTATTAATTGGGTTTTTTAGCTTGCTAGCCTCGAGATAACAGTAGTGGGCTTGTTATTTCCATTCCAATATCTCATCTCTTTTTTCAAACATATTGATAAAAAGTTCAATTCATTCTTTAACACTCATTTCATGTTTAGGTGAGACATATTTCATGTCTAGGTGAGACATTAGCGTGTGAATGATTTAATTTGGGGGTCATTTTTAATATCAGGTAAAATAGGTTTTACTTTAATGCCATGTAAAATTAGATTTTGAATCTAAATCATAGTGCAAAAGCAAACTCAAAAGAAGGGGAACTGTTCAAGACTTATAAGGAGACCATTCATTTCATTAACCATTGATGCGAGACTTTTTTATTCTTTAATAATCTTATTGAGGAATAACATAATCTGTATAATCCTATGATGAATATGGTTACTATATTTTAAAGTCGTGTAAAAAATGATAAACGTAACATGCGACTATGATGTACATTAGATTCTATAATATTTCAAGGATGATTTCTTTGGAGTGTAAAATTGGAAGGGGGAAAAAAAATTATTCCAAATAATCAATTTATTATATGGACCATCCAAATAAATTTCCTTTTGTCATTGAAAAGGAAGCCTCTATAAAAGAAATATTCCAATTGTCAGCCCATCAAATACTATCTTTTTTCTCTTTCCTTCTTGATAATTTGATCTACTGCTTGTCGATGAAGAATATTTCATTGTGGACACATATGTATACCGAATGGGTCTATTTGTATATTTCGATATATAAATAGATGAAAAAATTTGAAATTTGTACTGCAAATTACAAATAAAAGAAACTATGGCTACAATATTCAATTTAAATTAATAAATTTTTATTATGTTATACAATTTTCCCTCGATATATGCCAGTCGTCTATATAGTTAAACTTGGGCCTATGTTGGACGTACGTTTGATGGGTTTAGGATTTCGGGTCTTTAGTTGTTCTTAAGTGATTGGATTGGGCCTCATATGACAGTAATGTCCAAATATTTCTGGTTATGAACTACCAATTTTTCATCTTGAAAAACAAGGAGATGAGTTGGGTTAAATGGGTGGGTATTTGGGTATACTAATTAAAATAGGAAAACATTTTAGGGCAAATGACAGAAATCACATTTTTTTTAAGGTAAAATTATCATTTTTCCCTTATAAGTTTATAATTATAAATATCTGTTAAACTGATACAATAATATAAGCGATGATACATTAATCTGATGCGCGGGATACATTAAACATTAAGTAAAATACATTACATTTTATACATGACACACTAATATAATGTACATTTTATATATGATACACTAATTTGATGTACATTTTATACATGATACACTAATCTGATGGGCAAGATACATTAATTTGATGCGCGAGATATATTAATTTGATGCGCGAGATACATTAATCTGATGCGTGAAAATCAGAGATTTTAGGAATTTATAAAACTAATAGGGAATAATGGTAATAAGAGAACTTAAACGTGAGATTTCTGTCATTTATCTAAAATTTTAAATGAAAAAAATATATATCCATGTAGGTATGCCACATAAGCACCACATATGCTATTTAAAGTGAGGACATGAAACTTAACGATTCAAGGACAAATATGAACCTAAAGGTAGATGAGAGGGCAAACCTTTTTCTAAGAGTGAATCGAATTGTTAATAACCAAAAATATGGTTGTTACAAAGTGCATGGCAAGAGTGTTAACTCTAAAAAATCACCCTGTATCAATACATATCTTTTGCATAATATATAATGTGATCATATACTATTTATTTGTTATGAAAATTTCAAACATAATGTGTGATTTACTAAAATTAGGTATATCTATTTTATATTTCATGGGTCAGTAGCTATAATATAGGGGATCCCTTATAATGTGTCACAATATTTGCTTTCCATTAATATTTTATGTCTATAATTATCCTATCTTTTCGTAAATCCCGTATATCAACTGATAATTACGTGTGTCAATTATCATAGATTATCTTTTTATTTGATTATATAATTTCAATAATGTTTCCTAGTTAAACTTAAATCCAAAGATTAATTCTCCTATAAAACGAACACTATAATCCTTTTTTTTTCACCTCGTACTATAAATCCCAAATTTCTTCATTGGATTTGGATATCTTTTTTTTGTTCTAATGGCGGATTCATCACTCCCACAAGATGCTCTTTTTCTTGGCTTTGACAGTTCTACTCAGTAAGTATATAATTCTTCATCGATTACGTTTTCTTATGATTTATTTTGCAGAATGTTTGATTGTCAGATCAATTCGTAATGGGTTCGATCAATTTGGTTAATACTCAAAGGTTTTGTTAATTTTCCTGTAATGGGTTAGATTTAGGTTTATTATGAACTGGGTATTTGGGATTTCATGAAAAATTATTAAATTGGGATATGTATTGAAAAAAAATGTTTTTTTTTTGGATTATCAGATCACTGAAGGCTACTGTGCTTGATGCCAATCTGAATATTGTGGCTGCTGAACTGATAAATTTTGATTCAGAGTTATCCCATTACAAAACTGAAGGGGGTGTTTATCGTGACGCATTAGTAAATGGGAGAATTGTCTCACCCACATTGATGTGGGTAGAGGCATTTGAATTGATTCTTCAGAGACTTGAAAAATCATCAAAATTCGATTTTGGGAAGATTGCGGCTGTTTCAGGTAGTGGACAGCAGCATGGTAGTGTGTTTTGGAAGAAAGAGAGTGCAGCGATATTGTCGTCCTTAGATGCTAAGAGATCGTTGTTAGAGCAGCTAAATGATGCTTTTTCGACTAAAGAATCTCCGATATGGATGGACAACAGCACAACAGAACAATGCAAGGCGATAGAGAAGGCTGTTGGAGGGGCAATGGAGTTGTCTAGACTTACTGGTTCTCGCGCATACGAGAGATTTACTGGTCCGCAGATCCGGAGATTGTTTGAGACACAACCGGAGGTTTATAATAATACTGAGAGGATCTCCCTTGTTAGCTCCTTCATGGCATCTTTGCTTATTGGGGGCTATGCCAGCATTGATCACACGGATGGTGCAGGGATGAATTTGATGGACATTAAGCAAAGAGCGTGGTCCGAAATCATTTTGAAGGTATTCTGGTTTGTAATAAGAACGGAAGGCCATTCGCACCCAAAGCAACAATCATAACTAGACCTATTTATGTTTTTATTAGCAATTCTTGGTTAATGTTATAATGTGTTGGTGAAGAAACTAATGCTAATCTATTCTTCTTTGTTAGGTTTTGGTTGAATCTTAAACATGTTGGTTGGTTAATTTGTGCTTTACTCGGTTCTACAGGCCACAGCTCCTGGTTTGGAGGAAAAACTTGGAAAATTAGCTCCGGCACATGCTGTTGCTGGATCTATTGCTGCCTATTTTGTGGAGAGGTAGATCATTATATGTTTTCCTTGATTCTAACTCAGTTTCATCAGAAGAAATTTAAAGCTTTCTTTTTTACATTTCGTTCTGACCAATGTTAGTATAGATACTTCTCCTTATATTTGCTATCTGTGTGTTAAATCTTCCATAAACCTCTTTTCAGGTATCACTTCAACAAAGACTGTTTGATCATTCAATGGTCTGGAGACAATCCCAACAGCTTGGCAGGTGAGAGGATTTTGCTGAAAATTCTGTGTGTATTTTCTGTTAAATACTTCTCTCGCTTGCTATGTGATCACTGTTTTGAGATGTTCACCTGTATAGTTTACTGCAAATAATGTGCACTCTCAGGTGGTTTTGATTTCCATACTGTATATGTCAAACTTATGAAGGCCTAATTCAATTATATTCTGTTCCCAATTCAACATCCCAACTTTTCTCCATCAAAGTTGATGGGGATGGAGCTGAGTATCGAGTTACTAGACTCTCGAGTATGGACATAGAAGTAGATTTCTCTGATGTATCAGAATTAAGTTCTGGGCCATCAGCTAGTTTTTGGACTTTATATGTTGTTCAATTATCTTAGAGCTTATGGTATAATCTTGGAAACATACACTCACGTGTTTGATTTGTGATAAATTGATAATCCTTGAGACTTAACTTTGCATGTGAGGAGGTCCCAAAATGTTGTCGCCTTTATCTGTTTTAGAAGTAAATCTTTCTTTTTTTGTATTTGTGATTTCGCCTTTCTGCATTTGTACAGTACTGCTTTTCATGTATATCAACCTAGAAGTTGTATTAGCTCATAGTTTACTATATCCTGATAACTTGGCTTTCTGACATGTAGGGTTGACTTTAAATACTCCAGGGGATCTGGCGATTAGCCTTGGCACTAGTGATACAGTAAGTTTGATTTTTTTCTCATTTGTTTTGGTTGTTATAAATACCATATTATCACCCTTTTTAATGGTATAATAGTTCAACTTTTGATAGTTTCTTATGCAAGTAGAAGTAAGTTGGGTTTTTCCCACTTGATTGGGTTGTTTTGGATGAGCTTATAGCTTTTGACTTATAAGTCAAAAACCATAAGTTAGGAGTTCTAAGTATTATAATATTGGCTCTTTTTGGTTCTATATGATATAATAGTTCAACTTTTGATAATTGTCATGCAAATAGACCAAAGAAAATAAAGCTATTTACTAATTGGAAATCTCTATGAAAGGCATGAAGAGCTAAACAATGCTGGCGATGGTACTTATCATACTGTCTTCTAGCTAAAGGACTAAAATCTTTGCCTATGTATTTAGTGCTTCTGTCACAGCACCCTGGACTTACTGCTTATCTCTTTCATTATCACAAACATTCTTTAGAAACAGTGTTGTACATATTATTGGTATGGAGGTCAAGTGATGCTCTTTCTTTTTAAAGGTTTTCGGAATAACAAAGGATCATAATCCAAGCATGGAAGGGCATGTTTTCCCTAATCCCGTCGATACTGAAAGCTACATGGTAATGTTGTGCTATAAAAATGGATCACTGGCTCGTGAAGGTAACATATTGATTTCAGCAGATATAGAAAAGGATTAGTACCTAAAGTCAATTCTATTTAATATGAACCATATCCTTGTGGCAGATATACGCAACCATTATGCTGAAAAGTCTTGGGACGTTTTTAACAAATATTTGCAGCAAACTCCTCCTCTAAATGGTTAGTGAAAGTGTAAAACTGTACATATATTCTATGTCTTCTGGGATTTAAAATGATTCTGATATCTGCTGCAGGTGGTAGATTAGGATTTTACTATAAGGATTTTGAGATACTGCCACCCCTCCCAGGTAAGCTCACTAGTTTGTTAGCATTTGACTTAAAAAGATTGATCTTTATCTGTGAGTGTGTATCTTGCTACTTAGTTTCATCAGAACAATTATGCTGGTAATTCTAAGTAATAACTGGTTCATGCAGTTGGTTTCCACCGCTATATCCTTGAGAACTTCACTGGAGATTCTCTTGATGGAATAAAAGAGCAGGAAGTGGGAGAGTTTGATCCCCCTTCCGAGGTTAGAGTTAGATAATTGCTCATGTTTAGATACTTGCCTGTTTTGTTGCATGTTGTGTGCATAGATATCAAGTGGGCGATCAAGCAGAAAGAACTTACATTTATGAATCATAAATTTATCTGCAGGTTCGAGCCATCGTAGAGGGACAACTTCTTTCCAAGAGAGCTCATGCTGAAAGATTTGGAATGCCTTCTCCTCCAAAGCGAATAATTGCCACTGGAGGTGCTTCTGCTAACAATTCCATTCTAAGCTTGATAGCTTCCATCTTTGGATGTGATGTTTACACAGTTCAACAGTCAGGTTAGTTAATCTCTCGATTGTTTCCTTTCACCTAAATACCTCATCAGTCTACTGCCTATCCAGTAGGTCGCTATCCCTAACTAAGAAAAACTACTTGTACGACAACCTAATCAAGAATGACAAGGATGGATTGTCATCGTCTCTTAAATCTTGTTTCCTACTTGCAGACTCGGCTTCCCTAGGTGCTGCTTTGAGGGCTGCTCATGGTTGGTTATGCAACAAGAAGGGCAGTTTTGTGCCGATCTCATCCATGTACATGGACAAGATGGAGAAGACATCACTCAACTGCAAGCTCGCAGCAACAGCAGGAGACCAGAAGCTTGTCGCCAAGTATGCTACGTTGATGAAGAAGAGAACTGAAATTGAGAATCGCCTCATTGAAAAGCTGGGGCGTTTGTGATCTTGAGATTATTCTATGCACAGCCAGCTCCAAATAATTTGAGAGTAGCAAAGATGTCAGATCATTTGTCTCTTTATATATCCTTGAGCCTGATGAGAACTCTTGTTAAATTCTTTCTTCTTCTTTTTCAGTTAGAATAATCTTATACTCTCTGTAAACAGATCCAACAACCCTATCAGATGATTGAATATTTGAATTCATGATGATTTGCGCCTTAAGTTTTAGTGGTGATGCCATATGATATATATAAATGAATAAGAGATTAGTAAGATAGCCAGTGTAAATATAATTAGTTTGCACAACTTGAGAGAAGAACATAACTTTTTTTATGCATGATTTGCTCTCTAACAAGTTCTCAAATGCAACATGTCTTTGCTCAAGTGGTGTTCTTGTTTTGCCAAGCTCCGAAAATCTACTTATTTTCACTAAGCGTTTTTTTTTAAGGATAATTTGTGTTTGACTAATCAATATGAAAAATGCTTTTAAATTGCATCCATTATTCGAATATACTTTCCCCCTACAAACTTGGCGAAATACTTCAATTCTAAATATGCATTTTGGCCAAAGTAAAACCTAACCAAACAGGCTCATGAAATATTGGAAGTGCAACAATAGAAGAACAAAAAAGAAAAAGACGTGTCCTTAAAGTATTTATCTTTAATTTCCTAATTAAAATTAAAATATCCGATATGACAATAAAAATCGATTTTATTTTAATCATGGATAGGTTCCCCACTTGATTAAATTTTATTTTTGAAAGTTAATAATCAGATGGACAAATGATTTACCTTTTAAAATAGATTCATTATTCTTGAAATATTAAAATCTTTCTTGTGATTATCTTGTTAAAAATCTTATCTTTAGCCTTTCAAGTTTCAACCAAGTTGCTTAAATTTTTTCATAAAGTTTTCTTATATGGAGGATTGCTCCCTTCCTCAGGACTCATTGTTCCTAGGTTTTGATTGTTCCACTCAGTAAGTTCATCCATATAATTTTTAATTGAAGATTAGATAGCACAGTTGATCAAAAATTTTCTTTTTCATTTTTTTTTCAACTTGAAGCAATATGCTTAACCCCTTTTGCTTGCTTCTGCTTGTTCTTGAACTGGCTACTCCTGCAAAGTGTTCAAGAATCAAGTAAATTTAAAAATTGGATCTTTAACTGAACAACTTTTTTGGGTCTTGATTTCTTAGGTCACTGAAGGCAACTGTGTTAGATGCTTATCTTAACATAATTATATCAGAACTTGTGAACTATGATTCTGAGTTGCCTCACTACAATACCAAAGGTGGAGTCTTTAGAGACCAATTTGTTAATGGTAGAATTGTATCACCAACATTGATGTGGGTGGAAGCATTAGACCTAATTCTCCACAGACTTGAAATGTCAAATTTGAACTTTGGAAAAATTGCTGCTGTTTCTGGTAGTGCTCAGCAACATGGTAGTGTTTATTGGAAGAATGGGAGTTTTGGAATACTATCATCATTGGATCCTAAAAAACCACTTGTGGATCAGTTACTTGATGCTTTTTCAATCGAAAAATCGCCCATATGGATGGACTGCAGCACAACAGAACAATGCAAAGCTATTGAGATAGCTGTAGGTGGTGGTTTGGAGCTGGCCAAACTTACTGGTTCTCGTGCACATGAAAGATATGTCGGTCCTCAAATTCGAAAGATTTTTGAAACTCAGCCTGAAATTTATCAGAATACAGAGAGGGTATCCTTAGTTAGTTCTTTTATGGCGTCTTTACTAATTGGGGACTATGCTTGCATTGATCAAACTGATGGAGCAGGAATGAATCTCATGGACATTGAGCACAGAACTTGGTCCAAGATAGCTCTGGAGGTTGTTTCTTGTGCTTGAAATCTAGTGTAATCATATTTATGTAGTTAAATTTTAGTAGCTTACGTAAATGTTGCTGTTGATTGTGTCAAAATTGTGTTTGTTCTAGGCTACTGCACCTAGTTTAGAGGAGAAACTTGGGAAGTTAGCTCCTGCTTATGCTGTTGCTGGTTCTATTGCTTCCTATTATGTTGAGAGGTTAGCAAAAATTGACATGCTCTTTACAAAATTTTGTTAGTTTCCCATTCTAGTCTTTGCTTCTGTTCATCATCTTTTATTTTCTATGAAGCTATCTCGTTTCTTCACAAAAGTAATGTTTCGTTCAGTATGAGTATTCCACCCTTCATTTTAGCTAAATAGCATCCCATCGACCACAAAGGTAGAGTTAAGGTCTGCGTACACCCCCACCATCCCCAGACCCCACTTGTGGGATGATACTATTTTATGGTTGTTGCAGCATCCTATCAAAGTTAAGCTGCTACCAATGGTAACCACACTAATATATGTTAGGATCGGAAATAAGCAGGTGTAAACGCGGAAACTAGCAATGCAAACATCGAAAGACCACGAGTAAGAAGACAGCGAGAAATATACCAAAAGACACAAAGATTTAACGTGGTTCGGTCAATCGACCTACGTCCACAAAGGAGATGAGCAATCCACTATAAATATGAGAGTACAAAATAAAGAGGGAAACAACCTCAACCAATTCACTCGTAATACATGGGGGGTTCACACAAGTGATAACATATCAAGCTTGTGACCCACAAATTCTCCCTCTAACCAAACTCTCAAAGCCTTTTGGAGTATCACTGTGAATATTTTCGGCCTTCAAATTCAGAGGCACTTGCTGGATGAACCAACAATACAAAGTCAGAGAAATTTTGTTTTTTTCAAGTCTAATCGAAAAACATATCTGCATATAATGTCCTGACGATAACGAATATTGTATCATCTATGATGCATTTGCTCATTATGATGCCAATTTCTACTTCATTCTTCTGTTAGTTTGTGTTTCCACTGATAGGTACCACTTCAACAAAAATTGTGTTGTCGTTCAATGGTCTGGAGACAACCCCAACAGCTTAGCAGGTGAATTCCTTGTTTTTTCCGGTTTTTCACGATGAACAAGAACTTAAATTATTCTTTCTTTGCAAATGATGTTTTATCTACTTAAGCAGCTATTGTTTCTGCCACTAGAGATTCTAGTGCGTAGATGACTCATTTTATTTGCACAGACATGGTAGCAGATGTTGAACACCATCAACAAGAAGCCAATTTTCATCCATCGGCATACTACTAACTGAACCTTTGGATCCTGTAGGGTTGAACCTTAACACTTGTGGAGATCTGGCAATCAGTCTTGGCACAAGTGATACTGTAAGAGACTAAAAGCTTGCTGTCTTGCATACACACTTCTAAGAAAAATAGCCTTGCACTTATAACATGCTAAACACCACTAAAACCAATATTGTTGTGAAATTGGTGTACTTACCCCATAGATATATATATTTAATTGAAAGTGACAAGAGACTTAGTTTCAATGAGATGCATAGAGACATCTTATATGCAGAAGAGCCAATTTTCTTTTTCCTTTTGCCCCTCTTTTTCTCTTGTACTGTACCGAAGGTTGAACAATATTTGAGAGAAGAAAAAATCAAGAATCTTGTCGTTATCTGTGCTCTTAGTAACATAATTTATATGTAATCATGCTGTTATCCAGGTCTTCGGGATTACCACTGACCATAAACCTAGCTTAGATGGCCATGTATTTCCTAATCCAGTAGATACCAAAAGCTTCATGGTAATGTTGGTCTACAAGAATGGGTCTTTGACTCGTGAAGGTACTCTGCTTGTATCTGATTTCCAAACTTAAAGGATGTCTGAAATTGGAGCACATCTCATTGGCAAGTGCTTGAAACCCTCGTAGATATACGTGATCGTTATGCAGATGGATCTTGGGAGGTTTTCAATATGTTTTTACAGCAAACACCACCTTTGAATGGTTAGTGAAATTTAATTCAGATCTCGTAAACTTTAGTTTCTTTATAAACATTGTACACTTGTCACTTGCAAAAGGTGGAAAGATTGGCTTTTATTACAAAGAGCATGAAATACTTCCTCCTCTTCCAGGTCAGTGCACTCCTAAAAAACAGCTAAACCGAAATAGACCAGTTGATTAATTTTCTATATCATGCGAAAATTATGATAAAACTCACAAGCTTGGTCTCCAGTTGGTTTCCACCGCTACGTTCTTGATAATTTCACAGGTGACTCCATGGATGGAGTAATAGAACATGAAGTAGAAGAGTTTGATCCGCCTTCAGAGGTAAGTGGCCTTCTATTGAAGAAGTTATCTGAATCATGAAAAGACTTAATTAACATATAGAGACACAAACACAAATGGAGGTGACTGGTACTTACAGGTTCGAGCGATAATTGAGGGGCAGTTACTCTCCATGCGAGCTCATGCCGAGAGACTTGGAATGCCTTCTCCACCCAAAAAGATTATTGCAACTGGAGGAGCATCTGCAAATGATCATATCCTGACAATTATTGCTTCTATTTTTGGGTGCAACGTCTATACTGTTCAAAAACCAGGTAAATAAACTTCGTTCATATTGGTCTGCTGACAGTTCTCTTGAGCATACTCTTACATTGTGTCGGAAAGTCACTCTCTTTGTTGATAAAAACTGGAATATAATAACTATTACTGAATGATCACATGAGAAAAACCCCTCTACTGTTAAAAGTGAGGGGATTTGGCCATATTCTTGTAAGAAGATTTTCAAGATGTTGATGAAGAATTGCAACAGATTCAGCTTCCCTCGGTGCTGCCTTGAGAGCCGCTCATGGTTGGTTGTGCAACCAGAAGGGAAAATTTGTACCCATCTCTGATATGTATATAAGGAAATTGGAGGAGACATCCCTAAGTTGCAAGCTTGCGGTGCCTGCTGCAGATCAAGACCTTGTTGACAAGTATACATTGTTGATGAAGAAGAGATTGGAAATTGAAAATCGTCTTATCCAAAGATTGGGACGTTAGTAAATTTCCACTCAGGTCATGTACTCATACACGTTTAACATGTTTATAGTATAGGACTTCAGAGTTACCATAGTTTTTTTTTAAAAAACCGAGAAAAGGTCATATTTACCCTCTTACTTTGAGAAATGGCTTATATATACTCTTTGTTTGAGTTTTCACATTTAAATCCATGTTCCCTCATAACATCTTTATATGTGTTGTATTCTTGCTAGCAAGAGTTGAATAGGTCACTGTATTCAGGATGCATCAATGTTCCGTCATAACTTCTGTCGCATCTGGTGGACAGTTAGACTCCTCAGGCCAAGGTAGCATCTTTTCCCTCCCTACACAAATTCGATAGAAACTTAAAGCTGCAGCCTATAAGCCTCATATGACATGTTGAACTATTGTGGTTCGTGATCAATGCTGAGCAGTTAATAAGCTCTTCTAAACATGCAACTGCTGTGCCTATAGCTGGGATAAATGTCAGCCCAAGTGAAGAATCCAAGACCCATTTGGGGATCATTAATACATCTAGCATCTAGTTTAGCCTTGACTAACTGTGTTTAGAGCCTTTTCCATACCAGACCAATTTTATTTTCCAGCAAATGAGTTGAGAATTCTCCGGCTGCAAGTCCTGCAATATTTTGTTGTGTTTCAATCTGAATATCGGCATCTACTGAACCTCAAAAGGAAGTAATGGAGAAAATGTAACATTGTCTAAAGAAATATAGAAAGAGAAAAAAAGAAAACGCAACGCAGTTTTCATCAAACAAGCACGTTTAACTTTTCATAGCAGATGAATTCATGTCAGCAAACAAGACACCATTAAAATACAAAATAGCAGTGATGTATCTAAGTGCAGCATTTGAAAAACACCCAAAGGAAAATACAATCCAACAAACAAAGCCATCCCGTGTTTAGTACTCCTCGTGATCATCATCCTCTCCTTCTTCCAATTCAGCACCAACCTCCTCGTAATCCTTCTCCAAAGCAGCTAAATCTTCACGTGCTTCACTGAACTCGCCTTCTTCCATACCCTCACCAACATACCAGTGGACAAAAGCACGCTTTGCATACATGAGATCGAACTTGTGGTCAATGCGTGAGAAGACCTCAGCAACACTGGTTGAGTTGGAAATCATACATACAGCCCTTTGCACCTTGGCAAGATCACCTCCAGGAACAACAGTTGGTGGCTGATAGTTGATACCACACTTGAATCCAGTAGGGCACCAGTCAACAAATTGGATGGTGCGCTTAGTCTTGATGGTAGCCACAGCAGCATTCACATCCTTTGGCACAACATCACCACGGAACATAAGGCAGCAAGCCATATACTTGCCGTGGCGAGGATCACACTTGACCATCATGGAAGATGGCTCAAAAGCACTGTTGGTGATCTCTGCAACTGACAGCTGCTCATGGTAGGCTTTCTCAGCTGAAATGACAGGAGCATAGGATGAAAGCATAAAATGAATTCTGGGGTAGGGAACAAGGTTGGTCTGGAATTCATTGACATCAACATTCAGGGCTCCATCAAACCTCAAAGAAGCAGTAAGTGAAGAGATAACCTGCATAGGTAGCACAAACATTAATACCTCAAACAACAGAAACTTCCGCAGTCAAACGTATTGTATATGATGTAATGTACCAAACAATACCTGTGAAATAAGACGGTTAAGATTGGTGTATGTGGGACGCTCAATGTCCAATGAGCGCCTGCAGATGTCATAGATAGCCTCATTGTCAAGAAGAATTGCAACATCAGTGTGCTCAAGAAGGGAGTGGGTTGACAGGACACTGTTGTAAGGTTCCACCACAGAGGTTGAGACCTGTGGTGATGGATAAATGGTGAAACCAAGTTTTGATTTCTTTCCATAGTCCACAGAGAGACGCTCCAGCAGAAGTGACCCAAGACCAGAACCAGTTCCACCACCTACAGCATTGAAAACCAGGAAACCTTGAAGACCAGTACAGTTATCAGCAAGCTTCCTGATACGATCCAAGCAGAGATCAACTATCTCCTTCCCAACTGTAAACAATACAAAAAGACAAATATAAGAACTTGATCAAACTGAACAAATCCAAATAGAGTTCTGCAATAAGGTACAAATATTAACTTGTATAATGTCCACGGGCAAAGTTGTTGGCTGCATCTTCTTTGCCACTGATGAGCTGCTCAGGGTGAAAGAGCTGCCTGTATGTTCCTGTCCTGACTTCATCAATGACAGTAGGCTCAAGATCCACAAAGACAGCACGGGGAACATGCTTTCCAGCTCCAGTTTCACTGAAGAAGGTGTTGAAGGCATCATCACCTCCTCCAACTGTCTTGTCGCCTGGCATCTGGCCATCAGGCTTTTGGGAGAAATAACAAGATCATCAGCAATGCCTCTAAAACAGGTTCTTAGCAACAGATACAATTCTAATGGATAACATGTTTTTCATATATCCAAATAATTTGAGTAATGTCATAGAATCTCACAAAAGAACCTAACTATTGGATACATTAGCTAATGAAATTTCAAAGTATAATAACTACCATTCATTCACAATAAATCATACATGTATTATTCAGTTCTGCGCCCATCTCTATGGTACACTAGTTTTAATATAGCATTGAAGACGATCCATCTAATGTAGACATATACACACATAAATTTCTATACATCTATACTATGGACATCCATCCGATCTAATGGACATGAAATGAATCTATCCAAAAAATTCGACTTTCAAATCATTTTCACATCATATTATCCAAACAGATCCATGTAAAAACTTTCACATTTGAACAGATTCAATCAAATATTGATGTTACTCAAACAGATTTATGCATCAATATATCTATCAAAAAGAGTGGATTCAAATGTTTGTGACGTCTATCAAATGTTGTTTTTTACTACTCAAACGATGTGCATTCAAATCATTTTGATATCACCATCATTCACACAGATCTATATCATTACATCTGCATTTGAAAAGAGATTTATCATAAAGCAAATTGATCTACCTAAATATATGTGGATCAAATGTTCTTTCAAAATCAACGGGACTCAAAACAAATAATTCAAACAGATCTATACAAGAACGCTTCGCATTTGAAGAGATCAATGCACAACATTATATATCATTCAAACAGATTGAAGAAACACATAGATCTATGTATAAAATACAAATTCAAATAAATTTTAAATCAAAGGAACGTAAATTCAGATATTCAAACAGATCTACACAAAAATTCAAATATACAAAAACAATTAGAAATTTAAGTTTGAAAAGATAAAGAAATGGTGAAAAATACAAACCTGAATGCCATGCTCAAGGCAGTAAAGTTCCCAGCATGCATTTCCGACCTGAATACCGGCCTGACCAATGTGGATCGATATGCATTCTCTCATTTTCGCTGCTTTTTTTATTTAGAAATCTTCAAATTTCAAATTCAAAACGAAAGGACGTTTATCAAGACGCCTCTTCCGAAGATTTTCAGATCTGATACATTCTCTGTGCTGAGAAGCCCTTTTTATACCGTGAACAACTCCCAAGAAATAAAATCTTGCGGTTGAGAACCACGGTTAGTTTAAACTTAACCGTAGTTATGATTGGTTGCCAGCTAACACACCAATTATTGGATCATATTTATCTCCAATCTAGATTAACCATAGTTAACTCCGGCCGGTTAGTGTTAACTTTAATTAAGCATAAAAAAAATAATTATCTTTTCTTTATTTATATTGTAAGTGAAGTAATTTAAATAAGTGACAATACAAGTAAACCAAGGGAGTAATTACAAAGAAAATACAATTGTGGAAATATGACGTAACATATTTTTAATTTATTGAGAATATGATTCTATAAAGAAAGGTTATGAAAATCGTGAATTAGAATATTAGCAAATAATTAATCATTGTTTAATTCTTGGAGAGATAGATTTTTCGCGAGTCTATACCTGTTTCACATTCATACTAATTATCGTTGAGCTTTTGTTATTTCTTATTATGTCATGTGTTTTGGTTATTATATTATTGTTATCATTATTATTTTCTGAATGAATACGCTAAATTTTCCATGTTAATTGTTATGTATTTATATAGTTCATTTTACTTTGATATATGTTACTCGTCTTAAGAATTTTTGAAAATAATTTCTCTATTTCTATATAACAAAAAGTAAGAGTAAGATATACCAACTCGATGGAAAGGGTAAAAATGTCAAAGAAGAAAAAGTAATGGACAGTGGTGCTTCGTTTTCACGTTTTGTACATTGCTGTCGGTTAGCAAGTGGAAGCACATGCTGCTATGTTAAAACGGCAGGTCACCTTTCTGACAAATGGGACCATTTAAACTTCACAAGGAATTTTGCATTGTTAAAATTGAGTCCCTTAACTTTAAATGATGGCAAAATGGATCCTCAAGGTTCTACATTCAACTCAATTTAGTCCCCTTACCAAATTTTATATTTTTCCAAATTTGACTTTTCAAATGTAAAATTTTTCTCCGAGACATTTTTCAAATTATATATTCCATGATTTTATATAGTTGAATAATTTATGTGAAATTGTATAAATTCAGAAGTATGCAATCTTCTCAATTATTTCTTGTGTTGGGGTTTTCCTTTTTTTTTCTTTCTTTAACAGTAATTTCTAGAAAATCTTTCAACTTTTATATAAGAACTCACAATTACAAGTTTATTTTTCGCAAACAATTACAAGATGAATTTCGTAGGATTTTTTTGCTTTTTTAAATGAAACAATAATGTAATGTTTTAGATAAATGGGACGGCAATATATTGGGCTTAGACCTTGAATTGCAAGTTGAAGGCCCATTTAAATTTACAGTAACATAGTCCAAAGTCCAAACATATAACCTCAAATATCCCTTTTCTTTGAAAAATTGCAATCCATGGGAAATATTTAGTACTCCTCGTTGGACATGACACATTCATTAAAAAAAATATTTAAAGACGCAAATTAAAAGCCACTTTTCACTATTACTCTTTTAATTATTTTTCTAAAAAATGTTAACGACCTCATTTTATCTATTTTTAAAAAAAAAGATTATACAAGAAAAAAAACACACAAAACAATTGTCTTGAACTTAGAAAAATTCACTCACTTCAAACTATGAATAAATAGATTAAGGAACTCTAAGCATGTAAATTGTTATGAAATTTTAAATTTAACTGGTGGAACTTGGTGATCTATGTGATTTCGGTAAAAATCTATAATTTTTATGAGAACTTTCACATATAACCACTCAAAAATAGCTTAATTACTCTCCATAGCTACGGTTTGATAATTTTCACTTCGTAGCTACATGTTATAGGAAGGACAGAGTAGAGCGAGAGAGGAAAGAGAGAGAGAGAGAGAGAGAGAGAGGGGTGAATTATATATGTATATCGGTTAGATAATTGTAATTATACATATGTATTTGTATATATGATAAGCGAAATTAGGAGGGGGAGGAAAGAGGCGAGCGACATTGAGAGAGGGAGGAAAAAGGCAAGCAAGATGGGGAGAGATTCGAGAGAGAGATGGTAGAGAGTGGAGAAAGGTGAACTGTATATGTATATTTGTTAAATAATTGTATATGTATACATTCTGGCGGATTATACATATACAAACATGACTAATTATACAAAACTCAAAGTCAGACCACGTAAGTTACGTAGAATTTTAGATGCAAGGGTAATTATAACAAACTACAGCTATGATGAGTAATTAAATAGTATAAATTTATCTAACCGCATAATTTTTCCATTTGTTTGTAAGTTACAGGCTCCTAAGAAATTGCTGGGCTCGGCCCATTTCATTGATGAATTTGCACAGTTTGTCGCTTCAAGCG